AATATAATGTAAATTCAAAATGTATTATACAACTTTAAAACATTATTTCGTAATCTATTTTTCTGGTAATTAATAAATAAGGACATTTGAAGCGTCTTAGTGTTAGTTAATTTTGTGTCTTTTTTCTAAGTAGTTTCTTAATCGTGTAATATCTGATAGGTTTACATTTAGATTTAAGTAAGTTTTAGCTATGTAATTTTACAACTTGTAACGCGAAAACAATATAGTCTATCTACCTTCTCGGACCTAACAAAATGTCACGTTGTTCCCCAAATTACGTTTTCCACGATAAAAAGAACACACGAAAGCTGCATTCAATACACTGTTTGCAAATCCGAATCTGTAATATTCCGAAGAAGGTGCAGCATATTCCAGCGAATAATACTTTTAACTAGACAGTTCGAACCGAATTCAGTGGCGTTGTATCGGAGGGAATTTGAATAGAACACGCGATCGGTTCTTGTCGCAGCCAGAATGTATCAGCCGCAGGTGGCGATTAGAGCAGATCGCTGATAAGCGCACGCAATTCCAAGAGTTGGATATAATACGGGCAAAGATTATTTTCCCGCTTAAACGTTATTTTGTATTGAGTTTTAGGATCGGTGATCTGATGATAGCAATGTATGGCTTACTCCTGGTTCAATTCCGGGAATAAATATGTTTCGACAATCAAATCGTATATTTTTCTGTTGATATGTGTCGGATCGGATAAATCTCATTCGTTGATATCAGAATAACAAATAAAGGTTCACAGTTGAAACGACTTTGTAAATAGATTCAGTTTTTTCCGATTCATTTTCGGATTCAGTCTTTTTCCGAATGTCCAATATTAAATGGATAAAAGACAGGACATCTTGTTAAGGCATTATATGGTTAAGGTATTTCACCTTCCATCAAATGACATGCTTGTCTGTTATACAAAATTAAAGGTAACCTTTATTTGATGAAGCGTATATGTTTTCCTAGGTACGTTGAACAAATTATCGGTAAGTATGCCACTTAAAACAATTTCAACGATTGTAACGCGGAATATATTAGGTAACAACACGACGGTTCAGATACAATATCGAAATAGTGGATATACCAAATCGAATACCACAACTGATATAAGAAAATAAACTGAAGCCACACGAACACAAAGTAAAAATATCTCCGTAATTAAGTGAGTGAACGTTAAAATTAAGTAGCAGTAGTGAAGCACCGGTTCAAAGCTGTTCGAGTTATCTATTCCGATATTAATGCATTGCCACCGTACATCTCTTGCGGTTAGATTGTGGCTAGAAGATTGTTGGAATACATTAAGTTTATTTCATTCGCACAGAACATAACGTATGAATCAGATAATGGTAGAGGATTATTTATTGGCAAATATTCTTTATAATAATCTGAACGAGATCAGTTGACTATACAATTTGTAGCATATAACCTAGACTAGGTTTAAAACGCTAAAGATATACGTTAACTTGTTTAATAATTAATCTGCTACGCTCCTCACTGTCCTATTGGGAGTGAATTAGTGCTCATAGTGGTCTAAGGGCTTGTTGGTCTAATGGTAGCAATGGTTAATAATCAACGGCTCGTGGATTCGATTCCTACTAGTCCAAAATATTTCTAATAAATTTATAATCTTTATGAATCATATTTACTTCGACTGCAAAGCCAAAATAGGTCGCGAGGACTTCTTGGTGAGTAATTTCCTATAATTGTTGTGTAATTCACCTTTAAGAGAGCTCCATGTTGGTCTGATATCCTCTTTCATAAAAGAAAATATTCAACGGAACACCAACAAGATTACAGCCTAATATGACATTGTGACAAACATAAAAATGCACCCCAAAACAGCAGAAGGAGATTGTTCAAACTATTCAAGATCAGAATAATCCGATAAAGATGATACGCACCGAGTTAGTGGGAAGTAATTGTGAGCCGCATCACGTCCGCAGCCTGTGACAACCTACACATTGAGTCAATACAAAAAACCCGATAGCGTCGTCTTTGGGGAGTTTTCGGTGCGTTAAATGTTAGACGAGAATATTGGCTGCTTTGTTTGTTATTTATGTATCTTTAAATTATATTATCTTTAAATTATATTAAAATGGGTCTTTAAAATATTTTAAAATATTTTTTAAATTTTAAGGTTATTTTAAAAATTTAATTAAAGACTTATGAAGTAAATACTTATAAACAATACAACTTTACATTTACGCTTTGCTTTTCTTTGTTTTATTTTCAAGCATTGTAATTCAAAAATTGTCCGTTCGACTATAAAGCTAAAATACTATAATCACAACAAAAATTACAAATAATTAAAAAAAACTCTTAGTCACAGTAGTATTTGACAAATAAAGAAAGAAAAAGAAAAGCCGTGATAGTGGCAAAAATATAACGTAGATAATATTATGCACTTACAGCGTGGTGACCCTATCCCATTTTAAGCTAGATACATATATTTTAAGATTAGAATTTAAAAAATAAAAATAAACCCCCTTTTTTCCTAACTCCTTCCTTCCTTTTCTTTTTTTTTTTTTCTCTTTTTTTTTTTCCCTTCCCCCTTTCCTTTCTTTTTCCCGTTTTTTTTTTTTCCCCCCCCCCCCCCCCCTATTATCTAATATGCTTTAAATAACAAGGAATAGTTTATAGATACATATATTTTAAGATTAGTATTTAAAAAATATAAATAAAACACATGTTATGCAAATAAAGAGCAAGGTAATATTCCTTATACAATATTTTTGATTATGACGTCATAAGAAGTGCTTTGGAAGGTTGATAATGTGTCTAGATTAATAATAATAATGGATTATAGGGCAGAACCAAACATAATCCAGAAATTCCCTTAGCAGAAAGTTCGTGGAAAGTGGAAGAAGTCATTTATCAAGCTAACGCTAAGAACTCTCGACATCTGGAACTTTTGATACAGGATGCTCAGTAAAAAGACATTAATATCGAGGATATCACGCTACTTGAAGTGTTTTTGTGGATGTTATCTCGTTTTATCACTTAACTGGGGGAGTTCCGCTTATCACTTTTTATCTCGACAACAGTTTTTGCAGGGTTATTACTAAAACGCCGCTTCGTGAAACATGAATAAAATCTTTTTCTAGAATTATGCCTACGCAAAGTCACACTTATATTTTTAGTTACATAGCTAGAGAGACGTACAAAAATGTATAAAAGAACGTATTGCTATAGGCGAATATGGAACATCTTATTTTTGTATTTCATTTTGTAGTCCTAAATCTTACTTCGTCTCATTTAAATCTTAATTCCTCTACAAGAACTTATATCTGTTATGTTCTTTTATTTCGGAAAATTCCTTCTTCATTCATTCTTATTTGAATGTCAGTGAAAATGTTGGAGATTCAAGAATATACTGATTTTTTAAAGATGATAACCTAATAGGAAACAAATTATTGTATAAAATGGTGCATTATTCTTTCTGTTATAGTAAAATGTGAACACAATGTATTCGTTTCAAACTTGCCGAGTTCTCTGACGCAAACGCCTCCCCACTAACTCCTCACTAGGCTGTAAGCGACTTTGCTTGTTGAACAAGAAAATCAAATTGTCTCCTAACTTCTGTACTCGAATGCCTTGAAAATAAATATAACGAATAATTACAGCCTAAAAGAGAATGCAATCTGTTTAATTGGCACAATATTAAACATATTCTATCCATTTACTTAATTTTACTTCTTGTATTATGTTTGTATTTAACCTTTTTAGAATTAGTATTTTGCTTTTATTATTATTAATTACCAATTACTTATTTGTTTATTACAAGAAACACAACGTCAAAGTATCTCCAAGTTTTCAAAATTCTTGTAAGATTTTTTTACTCTTATATTTTAAAGAGTGAATAAGCATTACAATACTTATAATTAATTCTTATCCATTATCTTTCCCTTTACGTTTCGCTTGTTTATAATTTCACATTTTGAAATATGAAATAGTTATTTAAGCAAAATATGTTCTAAATCAAATTCATTTTCAAATTAAATGTATTGACAACAAAGGTTCACTAGGGGAGTCTTATGTGCTAACTAAAAAGTAGCAACACGTTACAAAAATGTGAGGGACAAGCGCCAAACAAGCTTTATTGGATATCTTTGGTAAAACATCTGAGTTCGGAATTCAATAAGTGAGGACAAAAAAAGAATTAACGTCTGAAACAATACCTGACCTGTGTTTCCGATCCGCACTTTGATGCTTTCTATTTTTATGTTTTCGTTTGCTTCTTTTGTTTTGCACGAATTCTTTAAAATAGTTTTGTATTGTTTTAGAAACACGGTATGTTGTAGGAAATTGTGTTGTTCGTTCGTGACCCTTACTTGTTTTAGGATTTTCAAAGTAAGTAAATAGTTACAAAGTTTGCGAAGACTACAATTTATTTGTAAATTGTATACGATTTACATGTGATTCCACATGATAGCACTATATAAAAATCGATTATTAATTGAAAAAACAAAATATTACTCGGCTCAGGATTTGAACCGACATCGTCACGTTCGTTATCATCGGTACGTTATGAGGTCTCGGTAGCTCAATTGATTAAAGCAACAGCACGGAACGCTGTGGATGCCGGCTTAGGTGCTGCCCGAATACTTACAATTTGTGTTATCTTCAGTTGTCCCTAACGCGAACCGATTGTTTAAATTAAACTTTCATCCCTATATTTGGAGCTTGAAGATTACATTACATAATAGTGAAAGCACGTCGCGCAAGTGGCGCCGTGCAACGTGTAACGCGGTACAACTGCGTGGGGATGACGGGTGAGGGGTAGCTTTGGGTGCACCGGTCTCGGGCGAAGTCGAAACGCCTCGGCTCGCCAGTCGGCCTCAAGTCACCATGCGGATGGCACGTCTCCACGTCGCCCTTCGCATTCCCCGTATTCACGTCGCGACGTAAACATAACCGGTAGTGGCAACAATGAAAGGCACTCTTAAACTATAAGAACTGGAAGCTATTCACAAATAATACGGACAAATGTGTGAAAGAAAATGTTACTTTTGCTGACTTTTCTGTTAGTGACTCTGGATTGTAATGCGTTGGCGTCTAAAAGTGACCATAATAACTGCAAGAGTGAAGAAAAAACGGTAATATGTAGTGTCCGTGTTCTTGAATCTAATGGATCGAGCTTAGTCGTGGCGTCGACTGAGTATACCCGGCGGTTGTTCGTCGAATGTAATCAGCTGCTGTTGTTTGAGAGCCGCCTAGAAGCGAATTATTTCCAGAGGTTTTCGAACCTTGAAGATCTCTCACTGCAGAACTGCAAGCTCCTGAGAGTACCAGGTAATGCGTTCGAAGGATTGCGTGATCTTAAGAAGTTGTCGATTCGCACTAGAAATCACGATTGGAGCTCAAACAAAAATTTGGAATTGTCCTTGGGAACGTTCAATGGATTGAAAGAACTGCAAATTCTCGATTTAGGTGAAAATAACCTAAAAGTGATACCATCAGATGTGTTCTGCCCATTGGGAAACTTGCAGAAATTAAATCTAACACACAATAAATTGAAAAATATAGATCGTATTGGGTTAGGGAAAAATTGTGGACTGGATATTTTGAGTTTGGATGTGAGCAACAATGAATTAAAAACTTTAAACGAAGACTCTGAGATAACAACTCTTCGGCGACTTCAAGAGCTAAAACTTCAACATAACAACATAAGTGATATCTCTAGTGAAATATTTAATGGACTCATATCTCTAAGGATTTTAAATATTTCGCACAATTATCTACAGTTTATTCCTGAAGGTACCTTTGCTAACACAAAAGAGCTAAGAGAGATATATTTAAATAATAATCAATTATTTGAGCTAGGTAGAGGTGTGTTTCACCGTTTAGAGCAACTGTTCGTTTTAGATTTGTCAAATAATCAACTGTCGAGCGCACATATCGACGGCAGTACTTTTGTAGGCCTCATCCGCTTAATTATTTTAAATTTATCAAATAACGCCTTAACGAGAATAGATAATAAAACCTTTAGGGATTTGTTTGTACTTCAAATATTAGATTTAAGAAATAACTCAATCGGTTATATTGAGGAGAATACTTTCCTCCCCTTGTATAATTTGCATACTTTAATCTTAGCGGAGAATCGCTTACACACCATCGACGAATTGCTTTTCAACGGACTGTTCGTTTTGAGTAAATTAAACTTGAATAATAATTTATTAGTAAGTATCGATCCGAAAGCTTTCAAAAATTGTTCCGACTTAAAAGAATTAGATTTAAGCTCCAATCAATTAGTCGAAGTTCCTAAAGCCATTTGGGAATTATCCCTTTTAAAAACTTTAGATCTCGGAGAAAATTTAATCACCGATATTAAAAATGGGTCTTTTAAAAATTTAGATCAACTGACCGGTTTGAGATTAATTGAGAATCAAATTGGAAACTTGACAATAGGCATGTTCTGGGAGTTGCCCAGTCTACAAGTATTGAATTTGGCAAAAAATAAAGTACAGGCGATCGAAAGAGGAAGCTTCGAACGAAATAAACAGTTGGAAGCAATAAGATTAGATAGAAATTTCATTGTAGACATTAACGGGGTTTTTTCATCCATACTCAGTTTATTGTGGTTGAATTTGTCAGAGAACCACTTAGTGTGGTTTGATTATGCGTTTGTTCCCGCTAATCTTAAGTGGCTGGACGTGCACGGTAATTACATAGAGCATTTGGGAAACTATTATAAGCTCCGCGATGAGTTAAAGATAACAACTTTAGACGTTAGCCGGAATCATATCGTAGAAATATCTCCATTAGTAATACCAAATAGCGTTGAAGTATTATTCATTAACAATAACCGGATAACTAGCGTTCAAATTAATACGTTTATGGAGAAGCGTAATCTGACGAGGGTCGATATGTATCAAAATTTAATAACGCACTTAGACCTAAATAGCCTTCGTTTATATCCTGTACCGTTAAACAAGTCATTACCTGAATTCTATATAGGAGGAAATCCGATCGATTGTGACTGCTCCATGGAATGGCTGCCTTTGATAAATAATATGACATCTACGAGACAGTACCCCAGAATAATGGATCTTGAAAATGTTTTATGCAAAATGACACATACTAGAAGCGTGACTCATGTGACTCTAAGTAATTTAAAAGCGACCGACTTTTTGTGTACATATGAAACCCATTGCTTTACGCTTTGCCATTGTTGCGACTATGTAGCTTGCGATTGTCAAATGACATGCCCTTATAATTGTTCGTGTTACCATGACCCCACATGGCACACAAACGTAGTAGATTGTTCAAGCCAACGTGCTGTTGATATTCCGGAGAAAATACCTATGGACGCGACAGAAGTTTATTTAGACGGTAACAAGTTTAAAGAATTACAAAATTACGCGTTCATAGGTAGAAAGAATATGCGATCTCTTTATGTTAATTCTAGCGAAGTGGAGAGTATACAGAATAGAACATTCGCCGGTTTATCATCCCTCGTCGTACTCAGTCTTGCTAACAATAAACTTACGCATCTTTACGGGTACGAATTTGAATATTTATCACAACTCCAAGAGCTTTACTTGCAAAACAATTTCCTAAGCTACGTTAGCAACACGACATTCTCTACGCTTTACTCTCTCAAACATCTAAGACTAGACGGTAATAAATTGGTCGATTTTTCACTTTGGAGTTTAAGTTTGAATAAAAATCTTCACAGTTTAGCAATAAGTAATAACATGTGGTCCTGTAAGTGTAGATACTTACAACGATTCACGTCATATCTATCGGAGAACGTTCCTAAAGTTGTGGATATTTCTGATCTTTGGTGCTGGAACTCGGACAGTTCTACGCCACAAAAGAAGGATCTTAACCTAAACGGTACAATATGCAGCGATTACTATTCGGGGGACTCCGTCGATAACGTACTAGTCTCGAATTACGTGCCGATGCTCGTAACGGCGTTCTCCGGATTCATGTTAATAATACTGGTCACCCTCCTGATATTCTTATTCCGAGACACGATACGTATATGGCTCTATTCAAATTGTGGAATAAGATTGTTCCCATTCAACGGTGCGTACGACGACACAGACAAATTATACGACGCGTATGTGTGTTACAGCCCGAAGGACGACGATTTTGTGATTCAAACTTTGGCGCCAGAATTAGAGAACGGAAATCCGTCGTATCATCTATGCTTACATTACAGAGATGTACCACAGCACGGTACAACGTACATGCAGTGTACTTTACCGCTCCCCGAGGCGGCCGAAGCCTCTAAGCGCATTATTCTCGTGCTAACTAGGAACTTCATTCAGACTGAATGGTCTCGATTCGAGTTTAGGCAAGCCTTACATGATATACTCAAAACTAGAATCTATAGTTTAATTATAATAGAGGAAAGCTCAGTTTTAACCGAAGCGGAGTGCGATCCCGATTTGAGACCCTATTTGAAAACGAGTTCAAGAATACGATGGGGGCAAAATAAGTTCTGGGAGAAGGTGAAATACGCGCTACCGGATCGCAATTTTATACCTAAGACATCTAGCTTAAGGCGTAATAATGTAAATTCGTTTAATATGCGCGCTGGCGTGCAGAACGGTACAATGCGATCGTTTTCTTTTGATAAAATGAGGGTTTCTGCCGATGGTGTAAGCGCTTCTCCGGAGTATGTTGAAAATAGATCACAGTATATCCAAAGCGCGTACGGTCCAGATGGTAGACCGCCCTCTGATCATATCTACTCCTCTATCGACTCTGACTATTCCTCTCTGGAGTTAGGCGGAACTAATGTAAATAGGAGAAGAGATTTTAGGCACTGGCCTCCTCCCCCTCCCATAATAGACACGCAGCATTCGGGCCAGGCTTACCTCGTCTAGTCTATGATTTCTAAATAAAAGTGTTTAGTCGGAGCTTCTTGTATAAATTGTATCAACGTGCTTACCAAATAGTCACTTAAGATTTACCCTATTTTTGTATCTTCTAGACATATAGCGTTCTTTTCATATTGTTGGTGTAAATACATTCTATAAGACTGCTGTAGTATATGTGAATTTGTATATAAATTGTAAATAAATAAATGTCCATATTAAGTCACGAGTATACCTATTTATATACTTTAATAAAGCCATTGTGATAATTTTTGCATAACATATTTATTTTATTTCTTTGTAACCCTGAAACACTCCAAAATAAGAGAGATGATTAAAACTAAGAAAGATATAAAGTTAGTTTTATTTTTGTATCTTAAATCTTAAATCGCTTTTTTCGGCTGAATTCTTGCAGCGTTATACTAAAAAGCACCTAAATCCGACAAGGGTGTACGTGATCAAAATAATTGTGCAATTATTTCATAGCATCTCGTACCATAATCACGGTTGAGCGTTGCTTGAATAATAATTCTCTTTTTCCGAACGCACCTTTGATCCGAGTTCGTAAGTTTTTTTATTTAACCTCGTTTTTCACTTGGTATTCAAAAATGAATTATATTTCTGAAACCGTGTCACGTAAAGCCTTTAATTATACAATAATTGACACGAAACGTACTTGAAATGGTTAAAATAAATTTTAAGCGCAAGTAGATATTCGAAAACCTAAATATATATGTAATAACTTTTTCACACAAATATAAGCCGTACAGACTAAATATCTTAGTTATCATTCATATTATTCAAATGACCTGCTTAAATTCTCTATGTCCAAGTGTAAAGTGAAATTCTGTTTCTTCTATCTGGGACTTATTCAATATACTTATTACGCAATGTTAAGGTTGAAATTAGATTTCGCGAGAGGTGTACGTATCTATAGGTTCAAGAATTCGACGATGACTAGGTCGGAGCAATTGTTGGTGCAACAGCACGTTACGTTGTGGATGCCGGTTCAAGTCCTCTCTGTGTCTTAATTTTTCTCTCTTAATCTAAAATGATTATCAAATTAATATAATGTCATTATGTGAAATAACATATGAAAAATATTTAAACAAAACACTTTAATGGTTTAAAACGTGATATATTAGTTAAACTTATTTGAAAATGAAATACTGTCTATAGTTTACGCGAGTAGTACACATTTAAATAAAACACTTTAAATGTTTAAAACGCCATATATTAGTTAAAATTATTTGAAAATGATTTTGAACTTCGGCTCGACGTTTCGGATGCTTTGCAGCAGCCGTGGTCACGGGGAGACGCCTGCAATACTGTCTATAGTAAAAATCATTTTCAAATAAGTTAAACTAATGTATCGCGTTTTAAAGTGTTTTATAAAGTGGTAAAGTGTTTTATTTAAATGTGTACTACTCGCGTAAACTATAGACAGTATTTTATATGAAAAATATTTAAGGTTTGTTGGGACTGATTTTTCTACGTCAATTTCAGTTTCAGTCTTTTACAGGCAAGTAGATTAACCTTCAAACTTCCAACCCAGGTTCATTCCACATAATGCCTCAAGAGTACCACGGAAATAACGACGAGGGTACTATAATAAGTACTTGACACATATGATAGGTACTTCTGAAAATATGACTGTAATTAAAAGCAAGTCATCACGATCCTTTAAATTGTTCTAATTCATGCAGATGTCTGTGGATTAGCACAAATAGGCCTTAATTGGACCCTTCCTCTTGCATAAGAATCTAGGACAGGTATTCATGCTGACTTCACCAACTGCATAACTGTAATATCAGGATATTTTATGATATACTCGTTTCTCTTTAAAAATACATTATAATAATTTTAAAAGAGATATCACTACTTAGTTTATTTAGGCTGTTACTGTAACCTCAAAATATTTTTTTCGGCTTATTTGACACGGTAGTGAAATTGGTTAGAGCAACAACACGAAACGCTATTGATGCCGGTTCAAATCCTGCCCGTGTTGTAAACTTTTTTCAATTAAAATCAATAGTTAGATACTTTTAAATATTTATTTTAATTGTAGGCCGGGTGATTAGTCCACGTTATCAGCCGACCATTTCTCCGATTTTCCCATTTTCTCCTTGCATATGTAATATTAATAAAATGAAAAACTGTAAATACCGTGATAGCCATTTATTCAAATTAACACACAGATAATTAAAAAACAAAAACCTAACAAGTAAAATTTTTGTAAATACAATGTGTCCTGCTTTTGTTCATTAGTTTAAATTTTAATCGCCTTATATTCACTTGTAATTGTTTATTACATTTAACCTATTAATTTGCTCGAATATATAATTGCTGAGCAAATAATGTAAATGTGTGTTCGTAATTTAAAAAAAAAACGATAAGTAGCTTTGTCAGATAGTACGTATTTAGTAAAACAAATTGAACCGTTTAAAATGCGAAATATGTTATTTTGTTTTAACTGTGATCAATGTTTGAGCTAAAGCGTTGAAATTAATGGATTTTTTTTTATTTATAAAGGTACTTAAAATAGACAGAAACAAAAAGTATACACTGATATATAATTATGTTACATTTTATTTGATGGTATTAATTAAAAAATAAAGACAATTTTTACTAACACAAAGCTAGTTAATTAATTAATAAAACTAAAATTCAGACTCACTTGAATGCTACACAAATGAAAATCGTACACAACGATGTCCCGAAAGGTTTCTAACTATAAAACCTAATACTAATAAAAAAAATGATGATAAAGGAGGACAGACAAGCATCTGGTTGACTTGATGGTAAGCGAAATAGCCCCACCACATGTCAAAGCAAGACGCGCTGTCTATCTATTTGTGGTATATTCGGAAACCCACAGACTAAAAGCGAAACACGATTAAATTGTAACCTTTTTCTTTTTTTATACCTATTGCATATCCAATCAAAAATCAAGCCCCAATAATTAACCAATATTGATACAGAAATAAACAAACAGAAATCGAAGCCACTGTCCCATTCATACATTTCAAAGTGCTCTTACGAAAGATATTCATTAGGAACCTATTCATTAAGGCAACTTTTAATAACATCGCACATTACACAATGCCGACACTTCATTAAATTGTCACTCACGCGGTAATGAAGCCTCTTTTCGTAATAGAACCAGTTGGGTAATGACTCACCGAGGTTTAGAAAAAGTGGGGGACTTAACTCCCTGTACTCTAGGAATAATTAAAGACCGAACTCTCATAGGCTAATTTATGATTTGATATTAGACCCACATTTAATGAGAGATACTGACACTAATAATATTACATTTATTAAGTTCTAGCAGATATGCTCACGACATCGTCCGCTTAGAATAGTTATTTTATACGACGTCGGTCGCGTCCCGTCGTTCTTGCGAGTATATATTAAAAGACAGATATATAGTGTCGTGAGATTATTTTAGATCATTTAAAGATGCATCATTCTTTCATACATATTATTTAGGTATTTTGAACCGTTTTTGCAGCGTAAGCAACGGACACCCACAAAGAGTTTCCCAAGAGAAACTTTTCCGTTGTTTTTTCTCTTCCATTAATCACAATATGTTATAAGCTATAATTTTCCTCGATAAATAGTCTACGCAAAAATATTTTTTCGATTCCCACCAGTGGTTCATGAGATTAGCGCGTTCAAACAAACAAACTCTTCAGCTTTATATATTAGTATAGTATAGATATAGTAGTCAGTTGGTTTCAAAAAATATTAAATGTTTATATGTCAAATACACAGACTATACTACTAATAATATAGTATTCAAAGTTAAAGATAAAGCCTAAATATATAAATGGAAAACCACTCCCATTTATTTTACTATCCGTTCAAGAAAATACTAACTAACGCGTAACGTTATTTAGTATTTTAAGACTATTTAGGCTATAAAACACAATATGCTACACAGTATAACGATTATACGTGTTGCCTAGCATAGCGTTAGGCACTAGAAATCCTTGATTCGAATCCCGGAAAAACAATAATCGGTCAAGCAAAGCACAGAAGTCTGATCATCTGCCCAACAGGAGGAAGTGGGGTTCTATTTTAAGACCAGCTTTACAGTGCTGACTGATTAATTTACTTAGTGAGTCCTACAACATTAAAACAGCTTTTTAAGATAAATTAAAAATTCTCAGGATTATTATTTAACCATGTATCTTAAAAACTTCGCGTAATAAAGTAAGAAAATTAGGTAATATACCATCCTAGGTAAGAGTTTTGAATGATGGTCGAAAGTTAGCAAGAAATAAGAATACTTGAGGCAATTTTCGAGGACCTTAGTCGCGGAATATCTTGTTACATAAAGTTCTGCGACTTGTTAGTTTATTGCGTGATAAAAAATGTTTCAAGAACACGAAAATAATTGGATAGATTCGAAGAATAGTCTAGGCAACAATGAAAATTACGTTTTATAATATTTTAAAGCTTGGCTTAATTGGAGGTTTATATTTAGTACAATGTAGAATAATGTAAGTACTGAGCTAAATGTAGATAAATTTATATGTAAAGTAGTTACATTTTGTGATTTAATTTAATTACTATGTGTTGAGCGGTAGGAGTCCTACTACTATCCCGGGCAACAAAGAAAGTAGTCCAAACACAGAATATGTTTTATACCATGCCCCATTCAGTGAAAAAGTAAACGTATCGCGTTACACTACGTTGCATATTTCGAAAAAAAAAGCATAGTAATGTTTTACTGTCATAAAGTCGTGGGATAGATGATATTTAATGTCAATGAATTAAAACGCCAAGGAAAACAAAAAAACCATTAAAATAAAACATTCGTAACAGTTTAAAACGTGCAAAATTACTTAATTTCTTTACAATTTATTTTAACTACGGCCTGACGCGTTTCAGATTCTTTGTAGCAGGCGTGGTCACGGGGGATAAATATATTTTTCACATTAACCCTGAAAAATGTTATACTTTAAGCCTGCTACGTATGAATAACAGTTATAGAGCAGTGT